TAGTGAAAAGGGCGGGTAACTATGTATGCAAACAGGGTAGATACCATGCCTATAGGAATTTTGAATTCTGCATATGCACGTAGAAATCATGCCTATAGGTCCTTCTAAATTCTGTATATCCATCATTCACGTAGAAATCATGTTCGTAGGGTTTTCAAATAATATCTGCACTTAGATATCATGTTCATAGGCTTTCAAATAGTTTCTGCATTCAGAAATCATGCTCATAAGTTTCAAATAATTTCTGCACTTAGATATCATGTTCATAGGCTTTCAAATAATTTCTGCATTTAGAAATCATGCTCATAAGTTTCAAATAATTTCTGCACTCAGATATCATGTTCATAGGTTTTAAAGCAATTCCTACACATAGATACCATGTTCATAGGCCTTAAACAAAAATTCAGCACCTAGATACCATGTTCATAGGCCTTAAACAAAATTCAGCACCTAGATATCATGTTCATAAGTCTTAAAACAAGTTTCCTGCATTTTATACCATGTTCAAAATCAACTACGCGTAGAAAGCATGTCTATAGGAACTCTTAATCGAATCTGAATCGCTTCATTCACATATGGAACTAAAATCAGTAACAACGGGTACTGTTAGCTGTAGAACTTATAATCTTCGTTAAAAACTGGCCTTTCTTTTAACAAAAAAATCTGACTCCCCTGTTAATCAGTATGTGTCCAGTTTACTTTAAACCCTGTTATTTCGTTGCTTTCTGAATTCAATAGATACCATGCCTATAGGATCCTTGTCCAACACATAGGCAAACCTTAGGTTAAAGTTATAAATCAAATCAGTTCTGTTAATAAATACAACCAGCTGGCAGGCCTGATTCGGGCTTCTTATCTGAATTGTGTAATAAATCAGCCTGCCTCAACCTTTAAGCTCTTACATGTTCAGTACTTAATCAGACCTTAACTAGTATGTGTAAGTCATGCTAATTACGTGTTTCTTTGTTCAAGGAGGTATATCTGAGCCTCTGCTTGTTATGAGCTTTCCCCCAACTTGCTATACATGTTTTGTATGTCGCCTTAGAATTTTTGCCTTTGAAACCACAAATAAGCCTAACATCCCTTCCCTTTAGGATTAGTAGTCCTCATGCCTCCGGGACTGATAGGATTGGGACGGGTAGTAGCATGCAATAGGTAAACGAGACCATTTCGCGCTTTAATACCTCAACGGGATGGGAATGGTAGATATGGATATGATGACCATGCGATAATGTCACGTGTAGCCCCTCATCGAGGAGTGATTACTGGCATTGTGTGGGGTGATCCATATTACTAATAAGCCTAGGACCCCTCTCCCTTTATCCTTTATTTCTTTCTTTTCAGCATTTTAACTCTTTATTTTTTAAAATCAGTTTTTTTTTAATTCCCCTTTCAAACCTTGTTTACTTTCAAACCTGTATGTGATGAAATCCCCTCTTATTTGAGCCCTATTTGTTTATATGCTAATTGTACCCAAATTCACAATAATAGTCTGGCCGGGAACCACACTAGTGGATTCTGAGGGGTGCCTAACACCTTCCCCTTAGAATAATTTCAAGCCCTTACCCAATCTCTGATTACTCAAATTAAATCTCCTTGGTGTCCTAATGCACCCTAATCATTAGGTGGCGACTCTTTGAATCAAACCCAATTCCCAAAAGGAATGAGTTATCCTTCCAAATGTCATAAACCCGATTTCGCGAGAAAAAGGGGGCGCGACACTCCTGCCCCAAAAAATGGTGTTTAATGACTATTTATATGTGTAGGGAAAAGACGTAGACGAAATAGCCAAGTCCAAAACCAAAAAGGAGACAAAATAAACTTTAAAACTCGAAACACGCGAACACCTCGCGACAGGCTCGCGGCGCCTGCTCTAACACGAGCAAATTGGCTCGCGTCGCCTGCTGCTTTGCTGCGTCGTTTCTCATTTTTTGATTTCTGCCTAACTTTTGCAATTCTTTTCCTTTGCTTTCCCATTTTGCTCACTTGGATCATTTAAATACTTTTGTCTTCAGTCATCAACCCATTATGACATCATAATATTTTTCACCGTCAAATAATCACGAGTCATTTTTGTAGTGCATAAAATATATATAAAATCTCTACTTTGCTTTCAATTTTATCTTAGTGCAAATAAATTCAATTAAACACAAATATAGTATAGTTTAGCATGAAAGGGCCTAAATATAAGATAAGTAATGCACTAAAAATGTATAATTATAGCAAACATCAGTGTTCTTTGCCTGTTCTGAAATAATCGCATGTTATTTTCTTGCCAAATAATATATACAACAACAGTTGTTTAACTTAAAAATAGTTTTTGTTGTCAAAGTCAATATTAAAGAAAATCGGGTTTCTACTAACCAAATTTACTTCACTTTCCCAGGAATGCGATAATAAAATAAAGAATTGAAATGATAATGAAGGAAAGAAAGCTTATTGTTGGTCGCTGATTTCTCCCAGAATTATGGATTGGAATCTTCAATCAAACAAAAGTAAAAGACGGATTGCATATAATTGGGAATCTTCAGATGATTGTACAAAAGGTAAGGGTCCTTATATAAGGATACACACCTGTAACGGTTCCTTTACTCAATTCCTACCCGTTACTAATATTAATTGCATTAATTGCCTGTTACTAAATCTACTCGTAAGGGTTATGGTAATAATAGGTGATCGCGCATAATCAAGGTTAATGTTGATTCCCTTTCCATATTTATAATTGATTCTTGAACCTTCCCCTTTTATGGTCTTCATGCATCTCGTGCCTATTTCTTCTTTCCCAAATGTCAAGTACGGTACCTTCTTTGATAAAATACAGTGGGTATTTTAACCATGCCTCTCTATCTTTCTTTATCGACCCGATATAGATGCCACCTGTCATCGTACTATTAATCTATGTGTTATGCCTTTTTTCCACCAATACATTAGCTAGTGTCATTCTAAAGATCTCAGCTTGTACATTCTTTTCCCTAGCATGAATAGTTACCCAAGTGATTTCTCCATTCCAGTTTTGTATAGTTCGATGGATTCCTAGCCATTGTAATAGTTCTCCAAATATTAGTAGAGAATTCACACAGAAAAAAGAGAGAATCATGACTTTCATTAGCTACACTACAGTCTACACAGAGGACAAACCAAGTTATTACATATCAATCTTCTCCAGTTAACTTTACAAAAATCTCTTCTCAATTTCATGTTGTACCTATTCAAACTGCTTAATTATTTTTGTAAGCACATCCTTTTAACCAAAATAAATAAATAAAAATCAAAGCAAAACAGTTGTCTACAATCCAAAGAAAATTTAATCTGGAAGTCATCAAGTAGTCAAATAGTTAAAGGAATGAAGAAAGGAATCAGGATGGTGTGTATATATGCACCATAACCTTTAATTTTACAGTGAAAGTGGCATTCAGAATTTTGGTAAAGATACCTTCCTTGAAAGTTAATTAAGTAGCGAAAGAATGACAGTTGGTAACTTCTAGCTTCAATTTGAAAGATCATTCTTTTCACTTTATTCATCACATTGGCCTCAATTTTTATCTCTTGCATCAAGCTTGTACGTTTACACGTAATCTTCCTCCTTTTCACTTTGAAGGATTTTCACTCTTCACTTTCGGCTGTGGCACTTTGGCTATGGCAATAGCCACTCGAGAAAACGAATTTTTTTTTATCTTCACTTAATGTTTAATCAATCATAAAAAGAGTAAGTAAACACCACTCTATAAAGTTAAATTTCTTGATTTGTATAGAAGATGAAGAATAAGTAAGTAAAACTTAGAAAAAATATTTACATCTAGTTGAAAAAAATAATTGCTATTTAGTGTTTACATCTAATTGTTAGGACCGAAAAAACCAGGTATCATGCGGAAGCTTGAATGACGATAAATCCAACAACAAAAGAGAAATCTACCAAAAGAGACACAAACATTTGACGTGGTTCAGTCAAGTGACCTACGTCCACGGTGGAGATGAGCAATCCACTATATAAAAAGAGTACAAAATATCGAGAGAACAACCTCACGAAGAGGCAAACACAAGTGACACACTAACACTTGTCCCGTAAAGTTCTCCCCCTAAACAAGACTCTCAAGCCCCCTATGGCTACATTGTGGATGCTACTGAATGAGAAAGGCGGATCCTCAATTTATAAAACTCCAAACCTTTTCCTACAAGAAAATGGACTAGCCAAATATGAAAGAATTATATTTTCCTTCTAGGAAAAGAAAAACCCAATTATGGTAAATATGTTGTCATTTCCTTCATGAGATAGGAAAACCAATTATGGTAAGAAAATCTGGACAAACACCTAACACTAATCGTATTGATTTAATTTAAAAGAGCACTTGCCCGAGTATGGTGTGATTTTGTTTTTGTTAGTGTTTGGACATATTCAACTGATTTTTAGTTAGCGTTTGGACATAGATTTAGTTGGGAATCGAAAAAATGAGTTTTTGAAGATGAGATCAAAAATATTTTTTGAAAGTTAAAATTGCGTTTGGACATGCATTTTACTTGAAAAGAATTTGAAGTTTTATGAATAGAAAACTTCAAAAACTACTCCGTTTTTGGGAATTGAAGATTTTGTTTCCAAAATCTGCCAAAAATTATTAAAAACTATAAACAAACAGATATTTGAAACAAAATTTGAAAAAAAGCTCAAAATTTCTATGGCCAAACGGGAGCTAAAGTGTTTATGCTAATAGTGGAAATCACTTAAATTTTACATTTCCTGAATAGTACATGATAATGCTATTATTTACATGAAGTATAAAAAATAAGTAAATAAACATCAGATATTTGCAGTTCTTATGTTTTCATTTTAATTAAATCATAATTAACTCTTAAGATTTTATGTAAAAAAGATATTATCAAATGCCTTACTTTCTTGATTCGATAGATGCAAATATAAATTTTATAGCTTAGTGTTCCTATGGTTGTCTGGATTATGAAATTGTATTCCAAACAGAAGACGTGTCAAATACTGAGTGGTATTTTAGTTTCTTCCTGACCCTTCATTTTACTTTCTTGATACTGTCACTTCTCTTTCTCTACAAACTACAAATACAACCAAATTGACTGCATTTTCATCAGCAATGGCTAGTGTCAAACCCATAAACTCCATTACATCTCCTACTCATATAACAAGAATCACCAAACAAACAATCTTGACAACCCCCACATGGTTTCAGTCCAAACCCAAATATCTCCAACTCAGAACCACCACAAATATTAGACTATTTCTTGCTAAGTCTAGTGCAAAGCCAAATGCAAATCAAGAAAATGCAGCAGATAAAGACATGTTAAATAACCCAAGTTCAAGAATTCAACCACACCCCTCTTCAAATCAACCTCTATCCTCTTCAACTTCCTCATTTTCAAGGGGTTTAGTGTTTGATTTAGGACAAAAAGATTCATGGGACAGCTCAGAAATTGGTTCACCAGTTGTAAAAAGATACCTTAGTGATGAGGAAGAAAGGTGGTACATGTGGTATTATGGGAGGTCTAATGGTAAAGAGTCAATTGGTTTAGCAGTTTCAAGCAATGGGGTCCACTGGGAAAGAGGTGAAATGGCTGCTAAAATGAGTGATGACGTGGGGTTAGTGATGAATTGTGGAGAAGATTGGTGGGGTTTTGATACACAAAGTATTAGGCCATGTGAAGTAGTGATTATGTCAAGTGCTAAAGTAAGAGCAAATAGTTCTGTCTATTGGCTTTACTATACTGGTTTTAGTTCTGAAAAGATTGAATTTTTAGACAATTCTTTGGATTTCAGTTTAGAAAATCCAGAAAGATTGTACTCTAATGGTGAAAAAGGCAAGATTTTTAAGTCGTTGCCAGGTTTAGCAATGAGTCAAGATGGTAGACATTGGGCAAGAATTGAAGGAGAACATCATTCTGGTGCTTTATTTGATGTTGGTATAGAAGGTGAATGGGATTCTTTGTTTATAGCCTCACCAAAAGTAGTTTTTCATAGTAGTGGTGATTTAAGAATGTATTATCATTCATATGATGTTGAAAAAGGGAACTTTGGTATTGGGATAGCAAGGTCAAGGGATGGAATGAAATGGTTAAAATTAGGAAAGATCATAGGTGGAGGAGGAAAAATTGGAGCTTTTGATGAGCTAGGAGTGATGAATCCACACGTTGTTCGAAATCGAAAAGATGGGAAATATTTGATGGTTTATGAAGGTGTGGATTCAAGTGGAAGAAGAAGTATTGGAATGGCGATATCTTCGGATGGATTAAAGGGATGGAAAAGAGTTCAAGAAAATGCAGTGTTGAAGAAATGTGAAGAAGAGAGATGGGATAGTGAAGGGGTGGGATCACCTTATCTTGTTCAAATGGATGGAGATGATCAAGGTCATGAATGGAGATTGTATTATAGAGGTATTGGGAAAAATGGAAGAACTGGGATTGGTATGGCAGTGTCTCAAGGAAATGAGTTTCAAAGTTTTCAAAGGTGGACAGGGTTTCATTTATGAGGAATGTAGCATTATCATGTGAGTCAAATTTTTGGCTTTTTGGGTAATTAATTCATTTACATACTGATGAATCTTGCAAGATCTCTCAAGCATTATTTGTAGACCTTTTTCTTAATAATTGTAGTGTCCGAGCGAGTCTTTCCTTGAGCCGGGGTCTATTGAAAATAGCTTATCTATCCTCAAGGTAGGGGTAAGAAATGCGTGCACACTATCCTCCCTAGATCCCACTTATAGGATTATATTGGCTTTGTGTTGTTGTTGTTGGTGTACGAGCGAGCTTGCGCACACTTCGATTATTCCATCGAGTACTTGTTACCTCGTAGCTTTGCGGCATAAGTTCCGGGTAATTCTGTCTACCAAAGCTTAGACGGATGGGAAGAAATCGCTCAATGATTCATGCCTTATTTATAGTTTATGTTCTTTAGGTGCATATCAATTTTAACATTGAAAGCAGGGACTGTATTCAGGAACTAGATTTACTAACAAAAGTTCCAAATTTCTTGGAAGTCAGTTTGTTAAGTTTAGTTTTGATCAAACACTATAGAAAACCAGAAAATCAGCTGCCATAATATTTGTGATCTTAAGTTCTTATTTCCTTGGATATGTTTTGGCTTTTTTGTGGGTTACTTGTAATTGTTTTCTGATATGTTAGATTTCAAATTTGATATAATGTCCTAGTTGTTCCTATTATACAGTTTTCCTCCAAAAGCTTTTGGAATTTGATGAACAATCTATGAATGACAGACACTAGGATAACAATTAAAACGTTATTGTGTCTTGATTGGAGGTAGAATGCTGCAATAGAATTTCTTTCGTACTAATTTGCGCACATTTGGATTATTTCAACTGAAATATCTATTATCTCTCACCAACACTGCTAGATAACTGCCAAGAGTTAAGTAGAGGCAAACAAGGCATCCCGGTGCACTTAGCTCCCGCTATGTACGGGATCCGGGGAAGGGCCAGAGCACAAGAGTTAAGTACAGGATTTCTGCTAAAACGAAATGTTGGAATTCATTGCACCTATGCTACAGTAGAGTTTAGCAAGTATTTTCTATCTGAAATGCCAGGGAACATCATACTTAATTTCAGGCTTACATTAGCTGTGTTAAACTGTTAATCAGAGGTTTGCTTTCCAGCAGTAGAGAGCTTAGATCCCAGTCATTAGTTTTCTTTGTGCTAACTTCAGAAGGACGTTGAGGAGGCTATTTCAAAAAAAAAAAAAAAAAAAAGTAAAAAATAACATAATCTTAAAAATTTGATATCTATTTCAAATGTTAACAATAAAAAAAAAAAGGTTTCTTGAAGGAAAGTGGAGAGAGCATAGAGACAAAGTCAGAGAGTAATTTATCTCAAAATATATGACTTGATCTTGGAGAGTTCTCACTTGAGCAATTACAACAATAACACTTATACAATTAGTTATCTAAAATTTTCCTGCATTATCATTGTTGTAAGTTTGCACATTCACTTTGATCTCAATGTATTACTTGTTTAACCAAAAATATATCTTTTGATCAAAGTTTAATTTTAGAAGAAAACGGGTTACTGATAATCAAGTTTTACTTCACTTTCTCAACGATATCAAAGGAAAATAATAAGAATAACTAAGGGAATAACTGATTGCAAAGTCAAGGTAGAGAATTTCGAGAAAGCAGAAAAGTAAAGTGTATATTTCAATATTGTCTCAGATCTCTCTTTACAAATAGAATTATGTGCCCTTGTATAGGAATATACAATAGTATCGGTTTTTCCCTCATAATTTGGGCTAATTATGGGCATAAATGCTTATATCCGTTCCGATTCTCCTTCCTTATTTCCTTCCGGTTCATGTATTTTTACTTCTTTTTATTATTTATTCATTCCTTGCCAGCCGTTAGGCCCGATACTGTCTCGTGGGTATTTTTTTCCGTGCCTTTTCTTTTTCTATCAAATAAGATAACCACGTGTCGCTATATTATTGTTCCACGCGTTATGCCATGTCACCAGTCTAATATTCTACGTGTAGTGCTTTTTCACCACCAATACATCACTGATTATGGTACTTTAACAGAATCTATATAATACATACACACTGAAAGAACAGATCCAAAATGTATTACTACTAATACTACAATTCAAGAATTTGGTTCTAACAGCTATTCATTATGTTTTATTTCAGCAAATACATTATGTTACTAAGGCCTTATGATTAGCGTATATTCATATGGTACAAAGATCTTTAATCAGCATGTCACGTGCACAATTGAATACCGTATTTCATTGTTTGCCACTGCAGTTAAGTTGATAATTTTGATTTTCATGCGAAATTTAGTACACAAATGTAATGTTTGAGAAGGCTGAGGTTTGGTCGAAGAAGAAGAAGAAATGAATTAGGAAAGTGGCTAGTTAGGGTTAAAAGGCATGGGCACGTGCACATTAGGAAGGCACGTGTTAAGAAGATCGGAAGGCTGTGATTACAAGTTAGAGGTCATAATAAATGGGCCAGATTCAATTAATTATAACAGATTGGGCCTCAATCTATTATAACAGAATTGGGCTGGGATTTAGAGGTCAGTCTTTGATCGGTATTATTCTGTTACTCTCTCTTTCTCTCTCTACTTCCTCTCCTTCTACAGTTCCTAATTCTCTTTTCTTTTACTCGTGTTCCTCCATTACAGGTTTATGTGAAGACCTTCAATGGATTCTCAATTGTTCTTGTAATCATTTGAGAGCTACTACTGTAATTCAATTGAGAGCTATTACTGTAATTCATCTAGCTATTAATAAAACTCCATTGTTGTTCCATTTCCATTTATTGTTCAAATTCCTAATTGAGTATATTACAATTGGTATCAGAGCAACTCCTGGCCATATTATTACAGAAAATGACGATTCCTGAAACCAGATCCAAATCTATGGAAGAAAATGTTAAAAAACTGGAACCCTAGCTACATAGTCACATAGAGAAGGCGGAGATGAAATCTGAAGCCACAGACGCAAAAATAGATGACTTGGCAAGGAAGCTTGATGTGCTAATGGAGAAGTTACTTCCAAATCAAGCAGGAATTTTGGGAAGTGCTCCTTCTGGGAGCCCTTTTCTCGAAACTTCTGAAGGCAAGCATAAGAGTGAACACGGGGGAGAACCATTCACCCGTGGCATTGGGGAGAGAAACTATCATCACAGCTCCAACTCGAGGGTAGAATTTCCATACTTCGATGGAGCAGGGGTAGCAGATCCATGCTCATGGCTGAGGAGGTGTGAGCGATACTTCCACTACAATCATATCACTGAGCAAGGGCAAAAGTTGGAAGGAGCAGTCCGTCATCTTCAAGGTAGGGCTAAAGCTTGGTATTTTTCCTATCAAGTAAGCAGAGGAAATGTTAGTTGGCGAGAGTTTTGTGAAGAATTGTTGCAAAAGATTCCAAGATGCTGAAAATAGTAAATTCAATCTCATAGGAGAATTTAAAAAGATTGATCAGAAGGGTAGTGTTAATGATTAGTTGGAGAGGTTCGAAGATTTGAAGGCTTGGGTGTAGATTAGGAGTCCCACAATTCCTGAAGACTTCTTTCTAGAACTTTTTGTTGAAGGATGAAATAAGGCATACAGTTAAAATGCTCAATCCCTTTACTTTGAGCCAAGCAGTAGAAAAGGCTAGGCATCAGGAGAAAGTCATAGATTCCTGGGCTAAGAAGGGGAAGATAATAGGGGAAGGAGCCTAATGCCCACCAATGTCAGTGGATCAAGTTCAACTACCACCAACAGAGGTGCAGGATTCACAAGTCAGAATAACAGACTGTTTCAAACTACAAGGGCTCAAGGATTATGTTATAAGTGTGGGGGGAAGTACCACCCAGGTCACCAATGAAAAAATAAACAATTGAATGCTATGTCTGGCTCTATGGAACCTCCTGAAGGTGAGATTCAGCCAGGGTTTGAAGATATAGGAGATGAGATCTTAGGAGCACAAGAAGGGGAAATCATGGATGAAGCCATTAGCCTGAATGCTCTTTCAGGTGCTGAAGTGCCAAACACCATTAGACTAAAGGGTGAGTCTAAGAAGAATACTATGACAATCCTACTTGATTCAGGAAGCATTCATAGTTTCCTGGACTTAGAGACAGCAAAAAAAATGGGATGTGATATCAGAGAAACTGTTCCTATGAGGGTTACAGTAACCAATGGGAACCACTTGTGCAGTCTGTACACTTGTCCCAAATTTAAGTGAAAAATACAAGGAATAGAGTTTGAAGACTCAGTGAGATTACTTAGACTTGGGGGTAATGACATGATTTTGAGGGGAGATTGGATGAAAGGACACAATCCTGTCCTTTTGGACTTCATAGAGTATAAAGTCCAGGTGACACACAAGGGCAAAAGGGTGGAACTTAGGGGCATTTATCACCAAGGAGAGCTAAGGAGTATGACTACTACTGAGGTCAAGCAGTTATTCAAGAAAGGTCAAGCTATATGGGCTCACTTGTTCACTATATCAGCAGCAGAAGCACAGTCAGAGGAAAATATACCTGCAGCTATTCAACAAGTGCTGAAGGAGTTCCCAGATGTCTTTTCTGAGCCCAAGACCTTGCCTCCAAGGAGAAATCATGACCACTTCATTCCCCTGAAATTAGAAGCAAACCCAGTTAGCATTAGGCCCTACAGGTATAAATTTTTCCAGAAAAATGAAATAGAAAAGCAAGTGAATTAAATGCTTCAGAATGGGATTATTCAGCCCGGCCATTGACCATTCTTTTCACCTGTTTTACTGGTCAAAAAGAAGGATGGCAGTTGGAGGTTTTGTATTGACTATAGAGCCCTTAATCACATGACTATTAAAGACAAGTTCCCAATTCCCTTGGTAGATGATTTAATGGATGAATTACATGGCTCATGCATATATTCTAAGATAGATCTTAGGGCTGGATATCATCAAATTAGAATGGGGGACAAGGACATATATAAACTGCATTTAGGACACACTTGGGACATTATGAGTTTAAGGTTATGCCCTTTGGGCTAACTAATGCACCAGCTACCTTTTAGTCCCTCATGAATCATGTGTTCCAAGCTCATTTAAGAAAGTTTGTCCTAGTATTTTTTGATGACATTTTAGTATACAGTGCATCAATGGAAGATCATGTGTTTCACCTCAGAAAAGTGTTAAATATACTGAGGAAAGAACGATTGTTTGCTAAACTGTCTAAATGTTCTTTTGGACAGTCTAAAGTGGAGTACCTAGGGCATATTATATCTGGGGAAGGGGTCTCTACCGATCCCTCAAAAATTGAAGCTATGGCCAACTGACCAACACCAAAATCTATTAAGGCCCTTAGGGGTTTTCTAGGCCTGATAGGTTATTACAGAAGATTTATTAAGTCCTATGGGGTTATCAGCAGACCATTAACTAATCTGCTGAAGAAGAATGGGTTTCATTGGGATGATGATTTTGAAGCAGCTTTTCAAGGACTTAAGGAAGCCATGACTACTGCTCCTGTGTTAGCCTTGGATGATTTCAATAAGCACTTTTTCATAGAAACTGATGCATGTTCTAGTGAGATGGGAGCAGTCCTGATGCAACATGGGAGACCTATAGCCTTTTTCAGCAAGGCATTGGCACCTAGGCACATGGGGTTGTCTACCTATGAGAATGAGTATATGGCTGTTTTGTCAGCTGTAGATAAATGGAGACACTATTTGCAAAGAGGTCATTTCATCATAAGAATTGACCGTCATAGCCTTAAGTATCTACTGGAACAAAGGGTCACTAATGCCCTCCAACAAAAAAGGCTGGCCAAACTAATCGGGTTAGATTATGAGGTGCAATACAAGAAGGGTGCAGAGAACAAGGTGGCTGATGCCTTGTCAAGGAGGCAAGAAGAATACCTTACCCTTAATGCCATCACTTCAGCAGACCCTACTTGGATGAAGGAAATTGAGCTGAGCTATGAACATGACCCCCAAGCTCTACAGTTGATCATTGAACTTATCACTGCACCTAACAGTAGAGCCAGTTTTTCACTGACTCAGGGTATTTTGAGGCATAATCACAGAATTTATGTAGGAAGGAGTACTGACCTAAGGGCTAGGATTTTTGAGGTCCTACACTTATCTCGACATTCTAGTCAACAAGGAACTTATAAAAGGAT